TCCTGCTGATCAATACCGTATCGACGAAAAATGGTAGAATGATAAATAAATAGATACACTATTATAAATATATTAACGTTATTCAGAAATTTACAGATATTATGATTTACTTGTTTCAAGCATTTTAATTAATTTAGATGTTGGATTAATTAATTTGATCACTTTGACATTCAATATGTTAAATATCTCTCAGGACAACAAGTACAACAATCAACGCTACCAACGGAAATCTCACCTACTGTTGACGTGATGCCTCTAAAAGACTCATCGATTTACGAAAGGCGTCAGATGACGCCAACGGATGGTTCTGTGAGATCGGACGAAGGTTACCACTCGAACTATCACGACGAGATTCTGACGCCGCCTGAGGAGAGCAGCGAATCCGATAGTGAAAACAATTATGTGCTAGATTTTAGTAAATCATCGGTATGTGGCAATGAAATTTTGAAGCAAGACAATACCGCAACGAAGAACGAATACAGGAAAGTCAAGATCAAGATATCCAAAACCTATGGCAACTTCCAGACAACAAAAAGCATAACCGACAGCCCGACGAAGGACAAGGACCAGGAACTATCCAATAGAGCGGTTACCCCGGAACTTCAGAAACCGGTATCGCCCATCATCCTGCAAAAGAGTACGATATTGTCAACTGTAAACGAAGATGAGATAGCTGAAAAGAATCCAAAGCCTTTCTATGAACCTGAAGTGAAAAACGGCAACCTATCCATGTCTGGCAGGTCCACCTATCTGGTCAACCCACCCAGCAGTTCTATCCTGGAGAATATTCTATTACGCAACAGTACGGATAATAATAACAATAATAGTCACAGTCATCATCATAATGTCGGCTCACAACAACATCATCAACACCATCAAATGCATCATCAGACTCATGTGGACTCGGTGACGCCGCCACCTTCCAGCCCCACCGAAATGGCGTATTCTTACAAAAAGTCTCATCGTTACGGTAACATCCTACCCTGCAGTCCAGACTCCAGCTCAAACTTGCCCCTGCAAACGGACACGTGCGTCAATTCGACCAGCGGTAATGGCAGTGTGTTGCCCAGCATGCAGAGCCCCACCAGCAACATGCACTCCAGCACGGGAGGACCGCATTCGAGCACCGGAGGGAGCAACGGCAGCTTGCCGATGCATCCCGGAAATTTGCACTCGTCCAGTAACGCTGGCGGCAACATTCATTCCAGCACAAACGTACTCTCATCTAACGCAATACTGACGTCTACCAGCAATCTGCACTCGGCATCCACGACGATGAACGGTTGTCCGCCAAAGCGAAAGACTAAGTCACCATCGCCGTCGTCGAGTCAGAACGGCATTTCAACTCCGACGACGATCCTTTATTCCGGTAACTCGGGCGCTACCGGTTCGGGAAGTTGTCAAATCGAATCTGCCAGTCCGGTCTATCCGAATTCCGCCGGCAGTAGTAGTAGCGGCAGCAGTAGTAATCCGAGCATCTCACCAATCTCGCCGATCCAATCACCCTCGTCCTACGGTCCGTACGGCAATTTGTACGGCCATCAAAACGGCTCGCTGCACCATAACGTGGAAGCGCCGTTATCCATCAACTGTACCGCCTATTCGCCCACACCGAGTGGCAACGTCGGCGTCTACGAAAGGTCTACGGACGGCAGACGGCTGGAGGCAGCTACCAGCAGTAACGGCCACCAATTACCCACCTCGTCGACCATGCAAATTGACAGTAACCAAGCGTTGATCGCAGGAACGCACAATCTCCACTTGGGCCATCACCCAAGTCTCACTATTCATCCTAACTCTTCGTCGTTCCTAAATAGATATTCGCCGAGTTCTTTGTCGCCGGACGATCACGGTTGTTCCCAGAGCGGCTCACTCAGTCCCAACTCCCAGGGCTCGAGGGGCTATAGATCGCTGCCTTATCCGCTCAAGAAGAAGGACGGCAAGATGCACTACGAATGCAACGTCTGCTGCAAAACCTTCGGTCAGCTGTCGAACCTCAAAGTGCATCTCAGAACACATTCCGGCGAGAGGCCCTTCAAGTGCAACGTCTGCACCAAGAGTTTCACGCAGCTGGCACACCTCCAAAAACATCATCTCGTACATACTGGTAAGCGTATCAATCCAATATCAATATACTCGCACAGTGTATCTAAATCTTTTTTAATATTAATTATATCGATGTGTATAATTCATAAAATCTTTGTTTTTTCAATGCCTAGTAAATTTATCTGTATAAAAAAGATATTTATATTATAAAGATACTTATATTTTCTTTATTTAAATTACTTACATATTATCATAACTTATTATTTTCTATTTTATCTAAAGAAGAATATATCTCGAAAAAATCATCAAAAAATGTCTTTATGAAAATAAATCACACAATCAAAAATAATAAATAATAAAAAAATAGAAAGTATATATATATATATAAATTATATCAAATTTATAATATGCGTTTGAATTCCGGATTCTTTAATTAGATATCTATTAATATATCAATCTGGAACTCATATCTTATTATACTTGCATTTACACTTAATATTTCTATCTTAATATGATAGTATCGTCAACCCGTTTGTTTTTAGGTGAAAAACCACATCAATGCGAGATATGCAAGAAGAGATTCAGCTCGACCTCGAACCTGAAGACCCACCTTAGACTACACTCTGGCCAAAAGCCGTATGCCTGCGATCTTTGTCCCGCCAAGTTCACCCAGTTTGTTCATTTAAAATTGCACAAGAGGCTGCACACGAACGAACGGCCCTATACCTGCCAGGGTTGCGACAAAAAGTACATTAGTGCGAGCGGTCTCAGGACACATTGGAAGACAACAAGTTGCAGACCGAACAACATCGAGGACGAACTCGCGCTCGCCGCGGCCGTAGGTTCACCGACGTATTACGAATATGGTCCTGACATGAATGTTGGTAAGTACAAACTCTCAATTAAATATTATCCAAATGTATGAGATGACTAAAGAATAGCTTAACTATAGCTTCCTTGTTTTACGTCGCTAAAGCACTTATTGTGATGAGGAAAAAAATCCTTATCACAGTCGACAAGTTTGACAACGCAAAGTTCGGAGCTTCGTCAAAATTATTCAATTATCCGAAAACAGATTAACGTAGTGGATAAGAGGACGAAGATAACGCTAAACGGGGACATTATGTTTGTAGGAAATATGCCCAAGGAATGCGAGTTGGAGCACATCGATAATTACGACAGGCATGGCTCAGCGCATGGCCCGCACTCCACGTCTCTCCATAATCTGGAAAATTCCGTGGGTAGGCCGAGCGTTATAGAAACGTCCCAGCCGCATATTATCGAATGTACATAAGTCACATGATGGGGTATCAGCCCCTTTCTCGCTCCGGCGTAAAATGTAACCGTGGAAATGTAAGCGAGTTGCTCGCGATCGACTAGAGGAGAGAATGGACAAGAGAGCTCTTCTTCTCTGGAATGGCAGCAAGTACGAGTTAAGTAATATCGAATGAAAAATTTTCGCAAACTCCTTTCTGTTTTTGATAAAATATGATAAATTTAAAGCGATAAAATAACTTTGACATTTTTCTATTAATACTTTCATTTAGGAATTTAAATTATTCTCTAAAATTCTACATTTTGGAAGTGAAAAGCAACTTTTTTTTTTAAAGATTCACGCCTTAATATCAAATTACTTTTTTAAAAAAATTTGTATCAGCTTTTTAAGTTTTATTATCTTTAATTTTTTTACATGATTTTAAACGATATAATATTAAATATTTAACGATATATTATATAAATGATATAAACGATAAACGATATAAATGGTATAATATTAAATTGCTTAAAAGAAATTTATTGGCTTTTTGTTTGTCTTTATATTTAATTTTTTTTTTTCATTTTGGCTATAATCGATTGAATTATTAATGATTTCAAATGCTAAATTTGAATATTAATAGAAATAAAGATTCTAATTTATTTACTTTAATTTGCTCTCTATAAAAGTCAACTATATTCCATTAAAAAATAAAAGAGAAAGTTTGTCAACTTTTTTTATAAATAATGAGAAAATACAAGAATAGATCGCGATATATACCGAGAAATTTATAAAGCGATAGATCATCATTAATTGTATAACAAAAATCGTTCAATCGAGTGGAATAACCGCCAATCTAAAACAATATAATTTCTTAGCAAATATTATTTAAAATTTTGTTACTTTAGTGCCAAAGGCGAGATCCAAAAAGATTCAAGAAAAAATTAATTTTTTTTAAGGGAATTGACGAAATTTTTTCTAGAGGCGTATAAATTGTTCCTTCTTTATAAATATATACCCGTTTTTATTCTTTTTTTCTATATTTTCTATATTTCGCGTTATCAACGAAAGGAGTATCATTCAAAATTGAGTTTGAACGGTATACTTAATCAACTAAAGCTTAATCAACGATAAAATTGTAATGTTACCATTCCAAGAGAAATAAGACAGAGTATAAACATAATAAAGTACCAAAGTCGCTCGGATTTCTCCGAGAAATTTTCTCGATTACTTTTCCACGATGCATCTTAGGATCGCATGTCGAAGATGGTGATAATGCAATAAATCGCGCCAACGATTTTAATATACATATAGTCTTTAATCATTTAAAATATATTGAATTGATTAGAAATCTTATAAATCGATCTGACCTTTTATATACACATTGCGATTTTATTTTTCTTAGGAATAATTAAACGAAATTATTTCTTAATATATTCGCAGCGCTGCCATCCAGTCATCGGACTAAAAAAAAAAAAAAAATAAAAAATCTGTTTGGATAGCCTAACATATAACAAATTAATAAAAAATAATTAAATATAATAATTAAATAAATAGTGCATTTTATTAAATATGTGAGCAAGCAACAATTGTTATCAGACGAGACAGCAAAAATATCAATAGAACTCTTATGTTTCACAAATTTTATATCAGCTCAAGAAAAAAAAAGTGAATATAGTGACCCATTTTGGATGATAGTGACTTTCTAGACTTGTCAAAAAAAAGTAACAAAAAGTGACTTAAGTAACTGGATGGCAGCGCTGCTTAATATATTCGTTTAATGCTATATATAAATAACGACATTACAAATATAACGCATTATAACGAATAGAGTCAATTTGAAACATCGTGAGAAAATCGCAATGAGCATCAAATATATTTAAAAAAAAAAAAAGTTCACGTTTCACATATCGCACGATTAGTTTTTACAAAACGAAATGTCACGATATCTTCGACGTGCTTGGGTCGGTGTGTAAAATGGCGGATTTTGTCGGCACCCGTCATGAGATGTTCGCATAATGCGCAAGCAACAACAGCAAAGAGTAGTAAAAAGAATACGAACAACCAGAGACGACACGACTGCAACTATACGAGACCTGTACCTGTATATACTAATATTACTCTATTAATTATTCAATAATTTAAAAAAGATAATATAAGAAGTTCTAATTTATGAATACCCGTGTATATATAAGCATGCGTGTGTGTGTGTATCTATGCCTATATACATACGTGTGTACAGATGTATCAAGTATATAAATTTACATGTGTACGCACGTGTGTGTATGTGCGTGTGTGTATGTGTGCATTGTTGCCGGTTAGCGAACGGTATACTGCGCTTTACGGTAACTTTCCGCGGCAAATTTTATTAAAAATAGAGTAATTTATTAATGCGTGTTGTATAAAAAACAAAACAAAATGTTAAGATCATCGACATGAGGTTCCATTATACTTATTTCTATTATACTTGTGACTTTTTATATACGATTGATGTGTGTAACTCTCTCCTTTTTTCTAAATGCTCTTTTTCTTTTTTTAAAATCTTTAAACGAGAAATTTTACATTCATCATGTCGTGTTAATATTTATCGAAATTGCGAGTTTTCTCGTCAGGATAACGATGGCGAGATCTCTTCTTTCCTATTTTCAGACTTTAATTGTAGAAAGAAGCGATAAAGATAATCGTATACATCAAATCATGCACTGCAATTTTTTAATCGCTTCTATTGTATTATTGTTAACATTTATTCCTCGATATGTATTTCTAATATCGCTATCCAATTAATTTTCATTCTCGAGTGTGTTTCTACTACAGCTTTTTTATATTGATTCTCTCTTTACACAACGTTTATTGATTAGGAAAGAATATACCTTGCAAACTTTTGATTACCTAAAGATATTTTCCTGCGTGCGCTTTGATGAAAAATATACCTATATCTTTAACTGATTAAAATCTAAATATGCAGAGGGAATCATCGTTTGTATAATTGAAAGTTATGGTAGAAAGTCTAGTCAAAACATTTTAAAAAGAGTTAGCACACATTTATACAATATGGCTATCAAGTTTTCGTAATGATTTTTTTAAGAAACAATCTGACCATTAGGAAGAAATTGTCGATAAATCTGTAAAAGTCATCTAAAAAGGCGTGATGGAAGAAGACGGAGGAGTTCCAAAAAGCGTTAATTATTATTGACATTTTATCGACATATTAAAAATTATGTAAAACATCGAGGCAACAACGTCGAATATTAAAACAAACAAAATTTTTTCAACCTTTTGCTATTTTTTTATTAAAAAAAAAAAAGAATAATTTGGAAACTTGATGGACATACTGTATATGGTATGCATCTCTTAAGAAAGGTATATATTTTGCAAAATTAAATTAAATTTCTGCGAAAATGATTTATCAAAGGGTCATCTTGTGTGCATGAATAATCGATTCTTTGATCACGTTGTACTTGCTATACAAGCAGAAAAAGAAAAAAATTAGAATTAACGAATATAATTGTCGAAGATCTAATATTTCTTTTTCATTAATTTTACACACATTTGATGAATTCGTACTTCCATTAATGCTAAGCTGGGTGAAATGAGTTAACTCCAAGCGCAGCTTACCGTATGTAATGCGAGACAAATCCTTTTTACTGAACGGCGATTCGTTCTGAGACTTCGTGAAAAACCGGAATGAGACTTTTTAAAAGAATAAAAATTTTAAACGCGGAGTCGATGTTTCCGAAATGCCGTTCCGTAACGATATCGATCTAAAAGGCGTATCGCAGACTGATATATATATATATATATATGACTATCGAGCGTTTGTGAGATTCTAAAAAACCACATACACATCGCGATACGATTCTGTGCGAAACGAGAGAATGAACAGAGAGTGAGAGAGAAAAGAGAGAGAGTTTGTATGTCTGTGTGCGTGATACAAATTATGAATGATTTTCAAGATTATAGGAGCGCAGAGTGTGTTAGGGAATGTATTATTATTCTAAATTTTGGCTTCCTTCGCAAGATCCTCCGAGGTTTCGGTTTCGCAAAAATTTTCCTCTCACGTTCGATGCTACGCAATAAATTTAAATCCACCAAAAAA